CACTGTAGGAGGCACTTTAGCAATGCTTTCTCAACCTTGACAGCACCAAGGGGGTCGATGCCTCCCCAACCCGCACCCCAAGCCCAAGTCTACCAGTGGATGACAGAAATCAATCTGGGAAATGTAGGTCATCAATATTGTGAGTGATGTCACAGGAAATGTGTGTATGCTGTAATGTTTTAATATAAGTTATACAATTTCCACAAAAGATGAACTTGTGGGAAACTCAAAAAAATGTCATAACTTACCCAAACACAATGCTACAGATATCCAAGGAACAGTGCAGTCTACACTGGGAAACTGGGGGAAAAGACTAACAGCAAATGCCACAAATGATCAAGTTATTTTTGTTCCAATTAATGTGTGCCTGTGGGTTCTGAGTGGCTGTGCTCCACTGAGTCAATTTTTCAGAGTTATCACTGCTCTCTACAAATAGCCTAAGGCCCCCCTGGCCTTGAGGCACCACATATTTATACAGATATTTATAGACCTTAAACTTTACTCTCACACATTGTCTACTATCACTATCATTGTTATACTGTACACATTTGGCGTGTTTCCACCAGCCAGTATGGTACAGCATGGTGCAGGTACAAATCCGAATAGAAAAATATCTGTACACTGGTCGACAGTGGTGGACAAAGTACACAAATCATGTACTTGAGTTAAAGTAGCAATACCCAAGGTAAAATATTACTCCAGTAAAATTAGAAGTCCTCCCTTTAGACCTCCACTTGAGTAAAAGTGCAAAAGTATTTGCCTTCAAATGTACTAAGTATCAAAAGTAAAAGTACTAAAAGATTAATTATGACTTTAATGTCCTATTACCATTTTTGTAACAAGACTCTTGCTTCACTAACTCATTTTAGGTGAAAATACTCTAGTGTCACTCTTGGTAAACCAATCTTTTATTAGAATGTCATTAATTAGTCTGTCAGTGATGTCTATTAAAATTATCATAAGCACAAAACACAAACAAGGCAAACAAATTCATTAGGTAGAACCAAGTAGCTATAAACTAACATTTTTCAAACAAGCAAAGTTTTTAAACAAGCAAAAGATTATTTGCAACTTAGTTACAAGTTTAAGTTTAATAAAAACTTTAAACAGAGGTTCACAAATGAGTTTTTCTTTATTATATTCCATCTGCTGGAATATAGTAATTTACTATAACATGAAATTGTGTTTGTATAAATTCAGAAAAAACGGCACATGCCAGTCACAAGTGCATTTGTGTACATAATTCTATATTCCATCATATTTCATATCGTTCCATCATTTATGTTGGCATAGGCACTCCCAAAATTTTACGCTGCTGCACTGACGTTGAACCGTATGATGGCGTTTTAGCGCCACTGTTAATAAAAATAAAAGTAGTAGACTTCGAGAATAAAGTCGTAATATTTCGAGAAAAAAAGTTGTCGAATTACGACATTAAAGTGGCAATAATACCATGAAAAGGTCGCAATATTGTGGCCAAAGGCATTGCAAAAGGAAGGCAGCACCGCCTCGTGTTAAAATGAGGGGTGTTTAGGAGATGGTGGAGTTATACTTTCATATCGATTTCACCCATAAAGAAATACTCAGTCTCCCTGTCTCTCCTGGCACATCAGCACCAGCCTGTTATTAGTATAAGAAACGGCTGTGCAAGAAAATGTTTATTTAGAATAAAGAACCAAATGGACTCGGAGGAAACTGTCTGTCTGTTTTGTTGAAAGAGAATCGCAGGCAGGGTTGCCTACACAGCTATCGGGGGCTACATCTCTGTGCCATTCAAAGAGAGCATGAAGTTTCACAGACAATGAGAATGATAATGATGAGACCCCAACACGTTATGGCAGCCCCCCTACAGTTAGCCCGTTTTATCCTCCAAATATTACGACTTATGTCTCACAATATTACAACTTTTTTCTTAAAATATTCTCAAAGTCTACTATTTTTATTTTTATAACAGTGGCCCTAAAATGCCTTCCTAGAACCATATGCCTGCACTGGATAGGTATGTCCAACTGGTCAAAACAAGCTCAAAACACAGTGTGTGCTGTACCCTGATTGGTGCACTTGCTTTGCGCTTCTTTTGTTTTGACTTACGTTTTTATACACACATAAGCCAAAAGGAAAGACAGAATTTGCATAACGTAGTGGAGTAAAAAATAAGATATTTGACTTTGAAATTTAGTGGAGTGAAAGTAAAAAGTCACCAAAAATGGAAATACTTCAGTAAAGTGCAGATACACAAAAAAGTACTTAAGTACAGTAACAAATTACATTTACTTTGTTACTGTCCACCACTGCTGGTCGAGTACCTGTGTATGTTTCCCATCGAGCAAACAGAATTGTGAAAGTAGTCGCAGTTCTTTTTAGCTTATGTAGTTACATGATTTCTAATCTAGTGTTTGAAAACACAAACAACAGCAGCAATGATGGAGGAGTTTACCTTTTGCAATACAGCAATTTTGGCTTGCAAGGGTTTTTGTTTTTTAATGGCAGTCATTTGACTTCAGTGGCACTGTGTGATAATTTTGTGACATTTGTGTTTGGCCAGTCAGTGATCTGCATTATTGCTAGTTCCACCAGTACATTCCAGGTCGGTATGCATGGTACCCCGGCAAGAAGCGTAACCAAATTCGGCACAGTATGGCTCACTTGACATCGGAAACTACAGCAAAATACGTGATCATGGATTCATAATCATAATGTAATGTACCACATTGCCCAGTGGAAAAATGACAATACATACACTACTTTTTAAAGGTTTGGAGTCATTGTTCAAAAGTTTGGAATCAATGCTTTCAATAATAGAAAGCCAATTTGGTTTCAGATACATGTAATAAATTAATTCAGTATGCTACTCCTGAGCAGTTTCATAATGTTCAAATAATTAGTAGAAAGCTAGAAAGCTTTAAAAAAAATATGAAAAAGAATGAAAAACAAAGCTGCAGATGAATCTCAAATGACTATGAAATCGACATAGCATCAAAAATTAAGTTAAAAGAAACACTGTATACACAGGATGTGGTAGGGTCTAAGTTGTATCATAGCAAGAAAGCAAGTGCACTGAAAATCAAAATCATAATCCAAAGTCAAATCCAAATGAAGATTTACTGGCAATACTTCACAAGGAGTGGTGGCACAGTATACAGTCTTTACTGTGCTGTGCAAAACCACTTGTTTAATTTAAAGTCAAAATGGCCATAAAGTAAGTTATTCATTTTTCAGCTTGAGGGGAAAAAATTACCTAATAATAACTTTTTGAAGTCTGGTTTTTGAAAGTTCAGTTTTTTCACTTATCCTGTCACCTTTTTTGCAAATGGATCTAATCTTCTCAGAAATATTTCCTGAAAAATTAATAACCTATTAGCTGTTTTGACTGGAAATTAAATAAATTAAGGGTGGTCTCTGATATGTGCACAGTACATTATATCCTAATGAAACAGAGTCAAGTGTGGTTGTAATATTAACAAGATCAAGTATTACCTCTCCCCCCACCTTTCACCTCTTACATCTTACCATCTAAATACTACAGGGGAAATCTACACAGATGTCAGTTTCAGCAACATTCTTATACATTAATGGCACACAAACACAGACAGGCATTATTCTAGACCTAGGTCACATAGATATGCTAATAAAACATTTGCATTAGAATACACATTATGACACATTTTAACTACTTCTAAATACATTTGCACAAGCAAATAACTTATTTCAAATATTTTAAATAACTTTCTCGGTAAAAAAATATTTATATTTGAAGTATTCAAGTATTGAAAAGAATTATTGTGTGGGATTGCTCAGAGGAAGAATCAGAAGCCATGTTCTGCTTTGAAAAGCGCATTTTTATTCAAGAACAAGCAGAAAAAGGCACACAGAAATAATTTAAAAGAGGGCAGGTTACCCCCAGCCCTATACTTTCTCCCAATGGTAAGCACCAACTTAATTTAACTAAAACCATACCCCCAACACAAACAACACATAAAACACATGTGGTCAACAGGTACATACCATGAGCCTCTTTGAATAAAATCTACATAACTGAGCTTAAATCCTCATGAGGGTGGCACGTGGAAAGCAATGCCTGGATGTTTTTAAGTTGGCAATAGTGAGGGGGAGTCCCAGGGAGTCAATTATTTGACTGTGACACATCTGGGACTCTGTCAACTATTTACTATTTGAAACATAACATTGTGATTGGCTTAAAGGAGTAAAAAATTATCCTCTAAGATTGTCTTTAGAACATGTCTTTAGTGCAGGGGCTGGCACTGACTATTGCCCAGAGCCCTACTTTGGCCAATATAAATGCAGAGCTTGAGGCCTCTTGCCTTTTGTGTTTTTTCCCTTTTAACAAACCACCAGAGCAGTTAAATTTTCATACATTCACAAATATTTGCTATTAATAATAATAATAATAAAATAATAATAATTAAAAATAAATAAATAAATAAATAAACTTTTCAGCCCCCACACAAGATTCAGAACTATGTATCAATTCAGCTTTTGTTGGAATTTAACCACCAAAATAACTAACATGACAGCAATGTTTTTATTATTTTAACGTTGACAAATATGTTTCCATAATTCTGGCCATGAATTCTTAATTTTGGCCACAAGATTCATTGGTTTGGTGGCCAGTGTGATTTTTTATAAGTGTCTACTCCTGCTGTTGTGTAATTTTCACATTTACTATTGAGACAAAATATTTTACATATATATATATATATATATATATATATATATATATATTATTTGCTGCTGAAGCCACTCTAAATTTAGTTTACTAGTGTCATAATTTCTTTCTCATCATGCTTTTCAGTTGAGTTCCATCAGGAACACACAAAAACTTCCAGCAGTTTTTTGGATTCTTTGTTTCCACTAAACGCCAGTGTCACTAGTGTCTGCCTTGTATTGAAACTGGAGCCATAGACGGCCATACTAGAGATTCTAGTTGTCTTTCTCACTTTTTTCAACATGTGTGTGTGTGTGTGTGTTTGTGCACGTAGGCATGACTTGCCAGGCACGTAGCTCCTATTTGGACTCAGAGGTGCTGTGGGGTTATCGCTTCACTCCTGTGCTCTCACTGGAAAAAGGATTCTATGAGGTGGACTACAACAACTTCCATGACATCTACGAGACCAATACACCCTCTTGTAGCGCCAAAGAGCTAGCAGCCAGACTGAGAGAAGGCCAGCTGCTCCCTCAAATCCCCCTTCTGACCCCCGAATCCAGGCCAAATATTCTGGACCCTGCCATCCCCACAATACAGAAGAGTGAGCAGGAGAAAGGGGGAGAAACCAACAACGGTTCAGCCAACCTTCAAGGGGAAAATCCCTGAGGAAATCTCTAACATAGAAATATTAAGAGACAATACTGATTGGAGATTGTTTTCATTTTATCCTGATGAGTAACTGTCCTGCAGTACTATACCCATTTTCTCACAGATTCAGTATGATGCAAGATTGAGGCTTGAGAAGAAGACATGAAAATACACATGCTGCATATCAACATAGAAAAAATATTTTTTACTCCAGTCTGTTCATTCATTACACTATTTTCATTACAGTAATCAACGTACAATACCCTTGAAATCTGGTAAGTAGCCATACCCAATGTAGTATTACAGACTGCAATTATGCACTCAAAAAGAGTGATTTTGACAAATCATACACTGCACTGCACCCTAATCATATCTATCAGGTTTTTAGACATGATGCACTTTTAGCTAAGAAGTAAATGCAATATTGCTGTGCTGCTGGCCCAGGGAGGCCAATCATGTACTACTGTATATCTTTGTGCCACTACTTAATTGTTTGGAAAAGTTAGGATTACTTACGAAGAGTCTCATGAGGCCAGATGTGATTGTAACATGAATACACTTCAGGGGATAACTTAAACTTTTGAAGTTGTATTGCGACACAAACGAAGGTATGCCCCCTCTGAAACTCATCCGCAAATTCCTCTAGTTTACTGTTTTTTGTTTTTTTGTTTTTTTTTTATTTTACATCTGGAGTAAAATCAATAACACATGAAAAACAAGCTAGCTAATGAAACGCTATCATTAGCCAACAGAATAGTTTTTCCTTGGCAAGAGGTAATGTTTATTTTTACCACATGTAATGTGTTCACCACTAAGGTGACACACATACATGTTTTATTGGAGTGTTTTTAAGGGGATTTTTTACCCATATCGTATTACATCTTGTATTACATCCACCTGCTAACAGGTTTGTTGTCTGCCAGACAGTGTTCACGAATGCACCATCACCCGCTACTTTAAGGTCATTAGATTTGCATTGGTTTAGAAATTTCACACTCTTTTCCCTCCTGATAAGTCCATTATCCCACCACATTTAGACCAAAGTTTCTGATGGTTGCCCCCAGGTGTTTTTGTTACGAGATAACTTCTGACTCCACAGGTACAGAGACATGGGAACCTGTTTTCAGGTAAGGATGCTGAACTTTTAAGCAGCAAATACATAGTGAGATACACTGTGAGATATACTGTGAAGTACACAGTGATGTGATGCAAAATTTATATGCCTTTTTATTCATTTTAATTTTTTAGATAATTTACATCAAATAACATCTCACAATATGCTATGATGTGGTGACACAAAACAAACTGATACAGCAAACCATTGCACACCCTGCCCACTCAGCATTGGGTTTGTTTCCTAACTAGTGATATTTTATGTAGTAGATTTTGCACACTCACGCATTGTCTCTCTCTCTCTCTCTCTCTCTCTTTAATTTTAGCTGCATTCCAAATAGCTCCAGGGTTTAGAGATTGGGTGATCGTGCACCCAAATGAAACAATGGATTATGATGTGTTGGGTTGGGTTGGCTTGGAAAAGTCACAGTGAATCTTTCACCTTGCTTATTAAGCTCATATGAAGTTTATTAAGCTTTTTTTGCCGTAGTGAGAGGAACTTTAGTGCAGCCAGGCCAAATTTAGGAGTTGATCAGAGGAGGATGAATGCTCTTATCTGTCAGGCACAATCAGCAATGCCACAACAATGAATTCTGTTTCTAGTGTTTTACAGGTGTTTAAAATACCAGCTCATACCAGCATGAAATGTTCTGTTGCTCAACTCAAGCTCTTAGTAAAAAAAGCAAATCCTTGTCTGCAGTAATCCAGACACATAATTTCAGGCTCAAATTCAATACATTAAATATACAAGACATTGTTACGTTAGTCACATTTTCCAAGTTAGAAAAACAATATTAGGCCACTTTGGGTCTCAGAAATAGCCTGCAACTCCGCAAACACTTTTACTCTGGACACATAAATTTGCTTTTGATTCAGCTGCAACCCAACAATGTGGCCAACAGCAATAGATTTGGCTCCTGTAATAAAAATGCAGCATTCATATAAACAGTGCATGGCTAAACTGCAGATATATGTAGCCCTCTCTGGATTACATATGACAAAATAGGATTAAGTAAGTGTGACTTGGAGTGCATAGTGGGGACCTTGATAAGTTTGCTTATCTGAATATGCTCCTGCCACTTTTTCACTGTATGTTATCACTTTGGTTTTCCCTTCACTCATTATAAGCTTAACAACTGTCATTTTTTCATGCTGTACTACTTAGAGAAGATGGCACATCAGATAACTTGCTTTTTAACCAGTAAGACTCAAGCACAATCACAGCAGTGGCAGAAACATTGGTATCTGATGCAACAATCTAAATAAAAGCAGATATGAGTGTTTATTCAGAGTGTATTTCAGAATTCCCCCGACCCTTAATTTGTATACTACTACAAAACTGTATTTAGTATATTGGTTTTGTTCACTTACAAAAATCAATTTATCTAGTAGCTCAGTTATTACCTCTGCCTGGTTTATAATAAGGATATATTAATTTATCTCTTGAAAAACTATTCTGGAGTTTCATATATGCAAGATTACAACACCTTGATTTACATTTATTCTGAAGAACTGGGGTGTAGTGTGAGCATGAATTAGAACCAGCAGGCAAACTCTACACTTGACAAGCTCTAGACTTCAATACAGGGTATTTTCTAAGGCATGAAATTCTTTTAAAAACTTTTAACAAATGTAAAACGAAAACAATGTAGAAATCACAATTTATGGTTTGAATGTACTTTAAAATTTGTTCACATCAAATTTCATTTGCATTTAACAGGATATTCAACCAAGACTTTACAGCGTGAGAATATGTTGTCTGTTTGGGATTCCTTAGATTGCACCATGTTCCTTTGCTGATATTTCATGTATTTTCTGTGTCTTCAATGGAAATAAACTCTTAATTACCTAAATGAATAGTCCTTAAGGACCATATTGTTTTGAGAATACGTTCTGCATTTGTGTGTGTGTATCTGCCTCCAGACGTACCTGTTTGATCATCTACTTTGGTGCACGTGTGTCTGACCCCATTTACACCGGGTTGTTTCATGCCACTAGTATCTGTAGTACAACCTGTGTGATTTTAACCAACATGCATTTACACTTGTTTATCTAGTTAGTCAGATTGCAGTCTGATTGCTGTATGGTGTAACGTGACAGAACTGGCCAGACGCTTGCATGTAAAATCAGGAAAGAGGCTTTACTAGTTTGAACTTGACTAATATTTGTGGTCAAAACAGGCATAGGTCAAATCCAGAATAAGTCTAATACAAAAAGGGACAAACATAACAAAGACAGAAAAAGGAAAACATGATCCAAAAAGGGGTAGGAAAAAAAAATCTGGCAACAGTCTAGGGGGCAGTCCCTTTCCAGCAGGAGGAGGCATCTTCGAAGTACTGAGAGGGTTTTTTTTGCCTGAATGTAGGGTATAGAGACAGATACCTAATACATGTACATCTGGATAAAAAAAAATTAAAATAAAAAAAATAAAAATAAAATGTCACATTATGCAGTGAATGATTGCCTCAAAACATTTTGAATAATCTCTCAGTCTTCTTTCCTAGCATTGTTGTCAGTGGCCAATAAGTGTACACAGTGTGTAAAAACCCCAGCAATGCTGCTGTGCTTGATACAAGTGCCAATACCACACAGAGTACGTTCACTACTATGTTAGTGTCTCTGCTTTGGTCAGAATGATCCACCAAACAGATGATATCTGTTCAGTGGTGGTCCAGTGGTGGTCCCTTTCCATTGATGAACAGGGTATAGTCTGGCTGGTAAATTGTGCAGCACACTACACTGCAAAAAAACAAAACAAAAAAAAACAAAACAATAACCTTATTGTTAAGAAAAGTTACACAGGAGTATTACACATCATTGAATTTTGGCAATCATAACCTTGTAAAGTTATCAATGTGATCATGCTATTAATTACCTCAGTATTAAACTGTTTAAACTATTTTTGACCCTTTAACACATACATTTGTTTCAGTTAAAACATGTACAGCATTAGTCTCTGTACTTTAACTAACAGTTTTAAACTCGGAAACAAACATCAAGGTGAAAAAGTGACCAGAGGGCTTATACCTCTGTCCATCCCTTATTGCTCAGAAACTTGCCCTGATCGGTCCAGGTGTTGTTGATAATCTGAAATCCTGAACTTAACCTGCTATGGATCAGCTAAGGCATCCAACATAATTTACAATATAAAGGTTTTAGACACCTGAGAAAATTGGGTTTAAAAGCTATTTATCTGGACAGTAAGTGTTTATTTGCTCTGAATAACCTTTGTATTGCAATAAATACACGTAATATCAATGCAATAAGCTGTGATTTTGTCAGTGTGTTTGCTCTTCATTGTGGCCCGATATCATTTGTAGTCATCGTTCAGTAGCTGGTTTTGCTCATCAATACTTCATTATACTAAATCAAGTGTTCTAGTGATGACACTTAACAAAAATTCTGGAACCAAACTTTGTTTTTCCTTTTCTTCAGTTACTTTTGACTGTGCTTATGTTTATTTGCCTTCAGTCTAATGATCTATGGTGATTTTATAATTAAAAAAATGTTTATCGGCTAGATAAAAGACTGTTGCAATGTATTTTGATGGAAATGTATGAATTACACAATTTTAAAAAAAAGGGGATTGGATTTTCATCTTCATGGGTAAACAAGCATGTCAACATTTATGAAGTTTTCTTATTGTGTTTAAATGGTACATTTAAGGCAGTTGTACATGTTTATTTGGTATCAAGCTGCAGATGTACTGTCTATTTTTATTTCTGCCCTGCCGTCTTTTTGGAGATGTGTCAGTTGTTTGCAGATAAGGGAGTTCTTACCTCCACACTTCACACCTCATTGATTGCTAGCAGCTCAACACAGGGACACAGCATTTTACACACACAAAGCCAACAGTGTCCTGTTTAATCTATATAACAGAGTTACAGAAAAAAAATATATTTAATATGATTATCTTAATTTAAAAATATCTGAGTTGATTTCCATTTTGCTGGTGGAATGGCCACTAGGGATCCTGCAGAAAAAAACTACCTAGTTAATTCTGTAGTCTCACAGCAAAACAGACATTTTTACTACCAGCATTTACTACCAGCTTTATAATCCAAAAAGCATGTCACACGTCTTGTGCATAAAATGTGCTTGTTAAACTAATGAGCATATTGCTTAACCTAAAGATAATGGAAGTTGTGACTAGCTATCTTTTTCAAGTTTTGATCATGCACTTTTGTTGGTAAAACGGTGCCCCCAGCTGGCCATTTGTGTGAACTTATTGATTTTACCAATTAAAGGTAATGTTGTGCGATTACTAGGCTAAAAGTAATTTAACCAGTGATTCTGATTTGTTTGAAAAAGAAAGAGAAAAACAAATGTTAGTTTGAATTGTACTTTATTACAATATATTACTGTTGTTAAAAAGTAATGTTTGGGTTGCATTTGGTTCATTTTACACAGTTGAATGAAATATAAATAATAGTAGTCCTAACATAGACATTGACACTATTTGACTGAAAACTTGACATTCAGGACAGATTCTCAAGACTAACCGTATGTAATCTAGTTACTATAGATGCTGGCTCTCTAAGATCTTTTCAGAAGCATAGCTAGAATACATTTCATATCTTAAACTTAACCTGTGACTCCAGAGCTTATTGTGTCCATCTCTTTATTAAATTCTCTCTAGAAACCTGGACTTTGATCTGCCATAGCCCATTTAAGTGACAAATATCACTCTGACTAGCAATTTGGGCTAAACTGAACTTCCAAGTAGTAAAGCAGGAGGAAACTAGATTAAATGACTAAAAGTCTACACCTTTAGGCTCATAACAAAAAGAATACTAGACAATAAACAACAGAACTATACGAAAAATAAGCAAAGAAAAAGCAGGAGAGAAGAACTAAAGAAGAGCTGAAGAATTTAGAATTTGTGAAAAAGAAGGAGATGATGATGATGATGATGATGATGTGTGTTCATGTGTACTAGAGATATTAGAGCAGGACCTAAGGGAGCTGAATATTGCAGCTGCTGCTCCAAGCCTCTTCCCCCTCTGGGCCCAGTATAATCTTTTGGGACTCCTTAAACTGCATGAAATGTTTTTGATGCTTTCCTCTTTTTCCCTCTGTACCTCTAACACACATAGATGACACAAACACACATGTTTTGGCTGCCCACAGCTGTTGATGTCACCACTGCTTCTGTGTTGTTCCAAAATGTTTATTGTGAAACTATGGAAACTTCCAGCTGGAAAAGAGCAACACTTTTTTCACAACTAATTCAGGGAACCTCACTGCCTCAGGAAAAGCAAATAGTAAAGGGGCTTTGTATTCAATGAGGGCTATATTCCAAGCCACACAATGATGGTAGAAAGGGATTGTTCCAATTTTTATCAACAGGCAGTTCAGCCAGAGGGGCTTTTGAGCTGCTCTAGAAAGAATACCCAGGCTAATGGTAAATGTTGGTCATACTCATCTATTACTTTTAACCAATTTGTTTTTACCAGTCATATCTTTGGGGCCTAAAATTAACCTATGTTCTCTAGAGCAAGCTTAGAAACGTTGTTGTGCTTCATTATGCTCTTTGTGCTTTATTTTTTTAACAAAGAGTGATAAATTAAGCTGATATGTGGTGTGTAACATGACAATGTTTTGGTACTGCTGTTCAGGGATTGGCATCCCATTGTTCTGAATTAAAACAAGATCACATCAGTTTCAAAACATAGGAGCATGTGGAAAGGAGTGGAGGCAGTTTGCGGTAATACTGCCATCTAGTGACCAAACCAACAATTTGTTACCTCTTTTAGTCTGAGATGACAGCTGGGACAGCTTCAGCAAGTGGTCACCACATGTAGAAAATACAGTTACTAATTTGATTTACAAAACTAGGTGCAGGCAGTGGATATGTGTGTTTGTAGAAAGCATAGTTTATTTCTAGTATGGGTGCTCCTCAATGGTTTGTCTGTCTGAAAAAGACCAAAACGTCTAGGTTTTGGTATCACTAAAACTTCTAGATAACCAAATTTGAGATTTTCATTTTTTGAAGACCTAGGTATGAGAAATTTTGACCTAGAATTTTAACTGCCACTGTTGTCACACATCAATTTTTAATGGAATAGATGAGTTGTAAACACCTTTCGTCACATGCTGTGTTTGTATTTACTGTAAATAATTAGGCTTCACTGAAAAGCAGCTGTGTTAGGTCTTAATTCAGAGAACTTGTGATGCAGTGTGTCTTTTTTTGAACTTGACAGTATTTACACAGCTCTGTTTGTGGAGGTTTGGTGTTTTGTGTTTATTTATTTTATTTACTTCTACACACTTGCCTCTCCAGAGAGGGAAAGGCCAAGAAGTTGGGAACTATTGGGGAAACAAAAAAGCTGTGCAGTATGTAGGCAAAGAATCAGTCCTACAGAAGATAATTGCAACAATCCTGAATGACATATATTCAAATTCATATTTTACTTTTTTTAAGCACATCTGAGTCTGGAGTAGCTTTTAAGTGGTCACACTTGAGTTTCATGTTCCACTGGTTTATAAATGTGAGATGATGCCACATGTGAAGACAATACACAGTTAAACAAAAAGTTGTGAAGCTTTACAAATAAGACAGTGGCTATAAAAATACCACCCATCTCCATTATTAACACATTACAGAAGTTTCTGTGATTGACATGCCTGGAAGAGGACATTTTTCCCCTATACACAGCAAGTAAGATGGTTTAAGCTTTTGTTTTTGGTTCAGAGAGTTATTTTAAGATCACACATGGACAACAGCAAAAGTTGGTTGCATCCTGGGGTAAGAAGATGCAAAAATACACTTAGGCAACATTTCCATGCCAATACACTATTTTGAATAACTACCAGAAAAAAAACACACAAAAAAGCAAATTTCCAAAGTGAAGAAGGATGTTGGGTCTTTAACAATGCTGTTTTACTTTCAAAAGTCCTAGGAAATTTTGTTTTGATGCATGACAAATGTGAAATTCCAAGAGACAGAGAAAAATTTTGCTGTCCCTGCCAAAAGGCTAAGACAGGGTCATGGTTACATCTTCTAGCCAGACAATTATCCAAAGCATACCTCCAAATACACATAAAAAGTATTCACTGACAACAGAATAAGCTTTTAAAGTAGCTATTCCAGTCCCCTGACCTAAAAACCCCAATGCTTTTATTGTGGTCATCTCAGTCTGCTAACCTAAAACTGGTGGGCTGTGCTGAAGAAGAGATTCTGCAGGTGAGAACCAAAGATTCTGAATGATCTGGAGAGATGCTGCATGGATTACTGGTCTCAAAATACCCTTCAGCATTATAGAAGAGTCAGGACTGTTACTGTAATGTTTAATTTTTACATGGATTTTCTAATCCTGATAGACAGAGGTGAGAACATTTGGTTAGCTATACTATGGTATACCGTACCACTAGGAATGCATCAATACCAATACTGGTATCAGGCTGATACTGTGCTCATTTACTCATACTTGTGCCCATACAAATTCTTCAGTACCAACATTCCAATACCAGCTGACACCGTGTGACGCAGGCCGAGTGTACACTGCTGCACTAATGAACAAATGACTCAAGCTGGCAGTGAAGGAGCCTCTGCTCACAGAGAGGTGTTGCTGACACAAAGTTGCTGTTCCCTTTAAACTATTTACCTTTGCATAATCCCACCACACCTACACTGTGATTTTAGCCAATTTTTGAAACACACAATCAGAACCGGTTTCCCCAATATGGGTAGAGACATGTAGGCCAGCTAAACAGAGGCAAAACTCAATATTCCCAACCAAAGTTCGTATTTGTCGACTTTACTCTGTTTGACTGAATGGAATAGCGAGGTATAAACATTAATATGGGGATTTTTTTTTTTATAAAACAGGCTGCAGAGAGACGGTCTTGTCCTACCATGGCTTTTAGTTTCTGTGCACCGTGTTAGCAGCACTGCTCAGTTTCTGTTTGCTCAGTACTTAGTGTGCAGCATATTATTTTGAATGAAACAGCTTTATCTGAAACTGTTTGTGGACAGAGCGTTTTCATACAGTGTGACTACATAAGTTGTAGGCTTTGTCCATACATGGCAGTCTATTCGAATGTATGAAGTTTCCAAAGACCAAGATTTCTAAAATCACAGTGTATGCCTGGGTTTAGAGGATATTTAACTACAGCGCAAGCAGCCAAACAAAATACTTCATATGTAAAACTTCGCAAGTGAGCGCTTCAGATGTGTAAGCCTCAGATGCAATTTTTCCTGTCACTGTGTTACAGAGACTGTTGCTGAAAGAGACAGATCAGGGTTCAAACCTATGAAACGTGCTTAGAGCTGTACAGCAGTACTTTGCTGCAAAGTGCTTTTCTATGCTCTTCTGGGTTTAGAGTTCAGTACACCAGTTTGTGAATTTTCAGCATTAGTTTAGGATATAAATGGCTTCCAATTATTTCCAATTAGACTCTCTCAGAAATATCAGCTTTGAAAAGCTAATTATGTAATGTTTGGGTGAAGTGCAGGTCAATTAAGTATAAAATGTCTTTTTTTATTTCTTAATTTCTTTGTCCATCACAGGTCAGACGCACAGAAATTTACATTTACGCACACATTCACACATTAGGGCAATTTAGCATCTCCAGTCAGGAATGTTGATGAAGACTCAGAATTGCCCCTAATTCTTCCAGTCTCTTCAAGGCTTGTGCCTCATGGTTGAGATCATGATAGGAGTCCTTAAAAAACAGACATTCTACAGTCAAACTGGCTGCCAAAAAGCAACAATTAATAAAATATTATGATACTGAATTGTGCAGAATTATAACTACAAGTTTCTAATTAGAACACATTTTGCCTTAAAGGGCCCATATCCTTCATTTTTCTAGTCCACTTGTGATGTCTGTGTGGGTTTATGTACCAAAAATAGTCTCTTATTCTCTAACAATTGCACGGTTTTGTTGCTAACAATTAAAAGGTTTTGTTGCTGTGTCTTCAAGACTGATATGTGTAAATGATCTTTTCTGATTTGCTGCCCTGTATAGTGACCTGCTTAAAATATACATATGTGCAATTTAATTAAAAAAAAAAATGAATTGGTTGTTTTTGCAGCTCTTCCATTTATGGACTGTATGGACCACAGAGTAAATGAAACTTTAAAACTTAAAAAAGGTTTACATATTGCATTAAATTCTTTCACTTAAAAAGTGAGGCAAAGTTGGTTTTCTTTGATATGAGCCCTTTAACATAAGATAGTATCACCAAGTTGCTTATTACTGTGACTCAACAACCTCAGTGAAACTGAAGTCATAAAAACCAACCTTCATGGACTTCATAGTTTCAGAGCCATAGTAGTGGATGGGCTGTTTTGGGTTTTGAGATGGTGGGTATCCAAAGCCAGCCACATGGACCAAATCACAGTAGTTTAGAGCCAAGAATACAGCCAGAATGCCTGTGGTTGGATGGACACATTTCTGGAAAAGAAAAATAAAACAGAGAGAGAGAGAGAGAGAAATAAATTAATGTGTGTAATAGCATCTGCTAGTGGTGTTTCAATGAATACTACTCAGAAATTCATGCACAGACCACTGAACCTTCCTTGCAGGTGTCAAAACTATCTTATATGCATTCCCACGTACTTACCAATTCAACAACTTGTTAATACAGGTTAATGATTGCCTAATGTATCTACTTACACCATGATCCAAATTATTATGCACGTGCCATTTTTGTTTGCTTTTCCAAAGCAGTCAATATGTTTAAGGATTTTTTAACCTTAACAATTATACCACAATGTGGATGATATTAAAAGTGGAAGTACTGATACTGGCAATGGCTTCATTGATATTTTGAAAAGAACACAAAATATGTTCTTCCAAATTATTATGCAGAACACAGTTTTTGAAAGCGTCCAATGGGTCATAATGACATTTGTATCATTTCACACAGAATCCATCACATTTGCTGCATGGACAGATAATTTTTCAAAAGATGATTTATATTTACAGATCAAGTTACATATTGATATATGAGCCCTTCTTTGAGATGAGGATGGTGGCCAAGCAACGATGTTTTTCTCATTTTATGCCCATAGCCCATGGAGTCATGCAGCATGGAATGATGCACTGTCCTGCATGAAAATGATTTTATTTTGGAAGGCATGATACCATGGCAGAAAATGGTTGTTAATAACTCTGCATATCTTGTAGAGATCATTTTAACACCCTCAGGGAGCCTAAAGGGACCTACTATCTCACTTCCAAATATTCAGGCCCAAATCATTACTCCTCCACCTCCTTGCTGACATTGCAGTCTTGTTGGAACAGGGTGGCCATTCACCATCCATCCAGAACTCCATCCATCTGGATCATCTAATGTAGCACAGCATTTATCAGTGAATAAAACTGTTTGAAAATTAGTCTTCATGTATTTCTGAGCCCACTGCAAATGTTTCTTATTGTGAGCTTTGCTTAGGGGTAGCTGAAATACAGCTTTATGTACAGCTGCCAGCCTGTGGAGGATCCTGCATCAAAAGGTTTTTGAGACTCCAGACACCCCAGCAGCTTCAAATACCTGTTTTCTGCCCAACAGTGGTGTTTTTATTGCTGCCCTTTTAATACAATTAATTTGTCTGACAGAAACCTTCCTTAGTAAGCTTTTATCTAGCCATATTCACCTGCGCTCTGAATTTGACAACAGATTGATACCCGTTATCTAAAAAGATGTGAAAAATAAAACAAACATAGTATATTTATAGTTATAGTTATTTGAAAAACTAAAACCGAAATGCTTATTATACTGAAATCCTACTGATATATCACTTGAATAATAATTTGGAGCACAGTGTAGATCTTGGAAGTTTCCATATGACTACTACTTCTAAAAATAAATCTCATTTACCTCAGATTGCTGCCAAGACCAAATCTCTTTCACTTTCCTCATGACATTAGATGGTTTGCTCTGGAAGCCTCAATTTCCAGGGCTACAGCCCATAAATAGTTCAAGTTTGTTGATCTCCATGGCACACCGCATCAGATTATTTTGAATGCAAAAGTAAAAAAAGAATGAAGACTTCATTCATTTTGATTAGGAAAAATGTTCAATAAATGGTAAGTGGAATCTTTAAACAACTGTCTAAATAAATAAATAAATAAATAAATAAATAAATAAATTCAGTGTTTAGGTGGCCTGTGCATCATTTCTACTTTTTTTTTTTTTTGGAGGGGGGAAGAAAAGTCATTACTGATAGGAGGGCATTGGTGATTGAAGAATAAAATAAATACACTGTGGCAATCATTGGGCTCAAGCACTTTTTTTTGCAAGTGCACCCCCTATGTCCACCTTTTTTATCCACATTTATACAGTGGACAGGTGAACTAAGATTGACAACTGGACAAAGCATTCCTAAGCATGTAGTGGAAATGGTCATTTCAAATAATTACTTTAACAGCACCACTTTAGGTACAGATATTTCCTTTTTTATAAGGCAGTTAAGTGGGTGTTAAGAAAACAATTTCCCACATTAAAAATATTTTTATTTTTGTTTATCAAGCTAGATGATAGCTAGTCATCAGTACCAACCAGTTGCCTGCTGTACACACTGTCACAAAATGAGACTTTAGGAGCAACACACATTCTCTGGAAGAGTTTTGTTTGAACCAGTAAACAAGCTCTTGTTCATTTGCCAAAAGGCACACCACTTTATTTTATGTGGGTCTGTTCTTTATGTGGCACTTTATTTACTCACTTTTCCCAACACATCATGCATGTCTGTCAAATGGCCCCTTCAAAATGCCTCTCTCAAAGTAGTTGGTTCATAAACAGGTTAAGTGACAAATCAATACAGTTTTTGGACAAAACCCACTCACAGGCCATGTTGTGAATTTCCATGAAAAATTCAAGTAGAATCTTTTTAAAGTATTTTTTAAATATTTAATTCATGCAACCATGCATAATTTTAAAACAGCACTCCAAATAAGCAAGCAAGCCATGACATTTGTCGCATTCCTTTGCAAGAGATCCTGTGCATTCAAATATTTCATGCAGAAATTACTAAGATTCATAGACTACACAGAAATAGGAATAGAAATAGTAGGAATTGTTACTACCCCTCATCATAATTTCTCTTCCATATAGTCAATGCTGCTTTCTGTGTTAGACTTTGTTAAACTCATGCAAGCTTTGTTAGACTCTATTAAATTTATACAAGCTTTGTTAGACTTCCATAACCTTGTGAATCTTGGGAAAGTAGGCAGCAAGTACCTATTTTTTTTGGTAGCTTTTCTCCTGTTTACCAAGTAAGGAGTTAGGGTTGCTTTTTCGTTTTTGTCCAGGATGAGTCAGTTCTAAACCATTAGTAGTTTTCTTTGTTGTGTTGGCAAAAGGTCATCTCAATACTTTAACACACTAACAATGTACGTTTGAGACTTGAAGTCAGAATTCAGTATTTAAGAAGTGATTTAGAACCTGCTATGGAAAACAGAAAAATCCAAAAGCTATACTGAGCATAGTTTTAAAATTCAGCATGGTATCAAACAGACATTTTTAACTGAATTTTTTGCCATTTTATTTTCTATGGCACATTTCTCTAATTAAAAGAGAAAAGAGAAGAAGGGAAATAATATTTTTTACAAAATTCACACAAGATTGATCCCTGTAGCAGTCCTGGAGGCTGATTTAAGATAGGTAAACCACAGTGGGTGTCCATACATGTAACTGCAATAAGACAAAAATCAAATATATCTTTTCATCCCTTTAATCACATCTATAGTTAGTATTTCATGTGAGCTACACAACAGATTGGTTTACAGTTTTCTTGATCTCAAATGTCATTAAGAAATGGCAGTTAAGGGGAACTGTAGACGCCAAGATCCGGAAAACCAAGAAAATTCTCATCAAGAACTGCTTCTATGCTAGCCAAAAAGCAAAGCAAAACCTCAATATGAAAGTAAAAGACTTGCAAAAAGATTTAGCTGACACAGGACTTATTGGAAATTGACCTAGCTAGCTAACTTACCAAAAACAAAGATTACCATTTCCACACACAAGACACCATTTGTTTCGAGAAGTTTATGAAATCCCAGTTAATTGGAAATCCCAGTAAGTCAGCAAACTGTGAACAAAGTAGGTAAAAAATTTTAAAAGATAAGTGAACTCTTTTGTATTTTAAAAGGTATGCAAATGGGGCTCCCGAGTGGCGCAACCGTCGCAAGCGTTGGCCCTATCATCAGGAGATCGCAAGTTCCATCCCTGGTGATGCTACAGCCATCCGTAGCCGGGAGTCCGAGAGAGCACAACTGGCCTCGCTCTCTCTGGGTGGGTAGGATGGCCCCTCCTTCTCCCCCCCATCACTCAGCGCGATGCTAGTCAGCGCAGGCGTCTGTTAGCTGACGTAACAGATCTGGCGGTTGGCGCTTTCCTCAGAGCGTGTTTGGCTGTCCAGTGACGTTGCGTGAGCGGCAGTTTGAAAAGAAGCGGTGGTTGGCTTCACAGGTCTTGGAGGACGCCTGTGTTAGCCTTCACCCTCCTAGCATTGATAGCATTGTGTGATTGGGGGAGTCCTAACTAGCGGGTGGAATTGGAGACGACTAAATTGGGGAGAAAAATTTGGTAAAAATTTAAAAAAAAAAAAAGGTATGCAAATGGTGTTTACATGTGTTTACCCACACTGGAACCCTGCTACTCAGTGTCATTATATACATACAGTGCTAGCAATATTTTCTAACTTATATGAAATGATAAATGACACATGCACATATTTATCCAATCAGTATTTAAACTTTTTTCCCATTAAATTTTCTACTAAGCGAAAGATTTAAAATAAGGTTTTTGTTTGCAAATACTGTAAAAGTAAGATAAAAAAAAGTATAACAGTAATAAAAAAATATAGCCGCAAGCGGCAATGAGCGGGTTCAAGCATGCAACAGCAGTATGGGCCCTCCTGCAGGTTTCGCCCATTAGGCCTAAAAAGGCCTCAAGGTTTTGGTTTAGCCCATTAGGCCTAAAACAGGCCTCAAGCTTTTCATTTAGCCCATTAGACCTTAAAAGGCCTCAAGCTGTGGGTCTTATTCGTAGGCAGAGTGAATAGAATTGATAGGAAGTCAGTTCATCAAAAGGCCTTCAGTTGCCATAAACAAGAAGCAGTGGTGTTTTAAACACATTATAGGTTTGCATTCATATGTACTGATCTACACTGGTTTGTAGAACATCCAAGAAGTTGCACTTGCACAGTGGATTGGTTCTATATTTAAGCCATTGATTTGATGTAGGCCATAATGAGGCCCAATTCACTCATAAGAGGCCCTATTGGTGTGAGGAGCTCAGTGGAAGTGGGTCAGAATTAGTGAAAAGGCCACAAAATGGTATCATTCTTGATCAGGGACCATATCCAAAGACGTTCACAGTTTTGGTCAGAATGACCTTTTGACCTTTGTATAATAAGTCTTTGTATAGTAAAATCTTTAAATGAATAAGCCAAAATAAAAGACAAGCAGTGCAATTTTTGACATAACATGTAATTAGAAAGTTGTTCATGTGAGTGAACTGAGTCACATGGCACCAACTGTTTATCTGTCGACCTTGTAATAACATTGTATCAGCATTTTAATTGATTTTAAGTGTTTTAGAGTGCTAAAGCGCCCCCTAAAGGCCAATATTATGCAAATTAGCTCAAAATCTAAGTGGGCGGAGCTAAATGGTCCAAATGGCAAAGTTGTTTGGTTGGACCCAAGGAACTAGGAAAAAAATATGGCTTGTCTGGCAAAAATCTGGTTTAGGAGTTATAGACCCAAACGCGTTGACCTGCGCTATAGCGCCCCCTTGTGGCCGACTGGGCTGATTCCTTGCACCTGAGTAGCGGGAGGGACTACTACCTATTGACCAAGTTTCAAGTCTCTAGGACCTACGGTTTGGGCTGTGCGTTCTGTTTCAGGGAAGAAAAAGAATATGAAGAAAAATCTTGACAATTACAATAGGGTTCAATGCATTGCATGCTTGAACCCTAATAAAATCATATACATAGGTACAGATATTTTACAGATACTTTAAAAAGCAACATATTCTGTTGCTAACCAGACACATCACTGTGTTCAGTTAGAGACAACACATTTTGTGCTACTTATGTGAAACAATGTGTTAAAACAGGTAACACAAGTGTGTTAAAATTTAACACATTATCTCTTTTTAGAGTGAAGGATAGGCTTTCTGCTAATGAATTATTAAGCCCCTCATAACCTAGAAAAAAAGTTAAGAAAAGTTAAGAGAGAGTTACTTTGCGAACTGTGCATTAAGAATCAGGATTGCATGTATTGGACTGTTAGATTCCCATTGTCCATTTCATTACAACACAGAAGGCAGCACTGACAACACTGTTAAGCAATGTCAGTAACTAGTTATAGTACATTTAGTCTTGGTCTTAATGGGCTCATGTTCTACATTTTTGTGCATTTTTTTCTCCTGAGGTCAACTTACAACATTTGCATGCTTGTATGTACCAAAAACTATTAGTCACAAAGTAATTATTTGTTGCATGACCATTTTTCAAGCATTAAACAGGCTGTTTTACTTACTGTGACTAATATATGCAAATGACTGCAATAGGATGAATAGGCAGATATGTAGTTACATGGGTTGCACTAGGTTATATTACAAGACACATGTGGTCCTGCACTGATGGGCTGACTGACTGGTAGACAACTGTCAAAATAAAAGTATAATTTCCTCAAAAACGTTCTGATTAACTTTAAATTGTAATTTTCCTTTTACAAAGTTTTGTCACCATTTTGTTAAATGAATAAAATCTCTGGACACATGGAACTAATTTTAGAACCAAGCAGTAGTCTTCTGACTATGTTTGAGATAGCCATGTTTCGTTCAAACATTGGCACGCAAAATGTGAGCAAACAGCTAAACATCAATGTGAATGGTATGCTACCAGAAGTATGTACAAAACACATTAACATGACTATGCTGTTGTAGACATTATTTCCATATTCTGAACGATGTAACCACTTTTTATTTATATATAACAGTTATATTTACATTGCTCCTTACAGTGTATCAAATTTTGTCTCTATCCTAGTTTGAAGGATTTACCTTATAAGAACTTTGCCATCACAACATGACACAAGCCACAGAAAGACAGCTAGGGGTTATTTGTCATGAAACAGCATATATTTTTTGTGTTCCAAATCTCAATTTCCTACTTCAACTATGTACCTGATAAGCTGAGTGATGCATTTCAGTATGAACACTTTTATAAACGTATCCATGGTTTAGAGCTGCCTAATCTTCGACTGTTTTCAATGATAAAAGTCTCTTTTAGAGCACTAGGCAAGTGGGTGGTGACATCACCTGCTTCTTCTTTGGTTCTAATGGCATCTCTAGCAGCTTGCTTGCAGTGAGGTGGAGAAAGTAAGGATCCAGGATACGGAGCTGACTGGTTCGGCCAAGCCAGATCTGTGGAGGTGGCTTCCAGAAGCCTGCCCTGACCTGTCAAAAGAGGTTAAGGCACATAAAAGAAGAGTTACACTCATTCAAAAACTTTTAAAATTTAAAAATTATTTAAAAATCTGGTTCACATATTAGGATCAAATTTTTTTTTTGTCGGTATCACTGTGTTCATTATAACATTTACAGTAGCACTAAACTTGTCACCTATTATTAATTTAGTCTTGGTCTTAAAGAGGCCCTATCCTACATTTTTTTCCCTGAGGCCTGTAAAAAAAAGTCAAAATTAATCTTCCATTGTCATTATCCAAGCTTTTATACCCTTAGAATTAAGCACACGTGTAAATGTGTAAATTATCCAAATGGCAGTCCAGGTGTGAATGAGCAGGCTAAACTGCTGTAGGCTGAATAGTCAGATATATGCAAACATACACACACACACTACATAATCAATTAATTCAACACGAGCCGTTTTTCAGCTTAGTTTCCGTAAGTGCTTGGGTCTTCTTTGGCTACTGCTGAATCAACAATTAGGATGTGAGAACTGCAGCACACCCAGACTATTATTGATATAATAAGAACATCTTATTTAACAAATAACTTTTTTTACATAAACAAATGTTAAAATAGTGAGGCAGTTGGCACAAAAAAGATTCATTAAAAAAATGAATCACTTGAATCAGAAATTTGTGTTCCGTTAAAGTGTGTATTTAACCTCCATGAGATTCAAATACTTTTTTCTGGTAATGGCCTTGATTTTTAACATCTGTTCAATTGAAAAGTTAAGGTAAAAAATAAACACATATATTAACATGGAGTTGCCCCCCCCTTCAGCCTTCAGTTTTCCGAGACTAGGTTGGGTTGCACTAGGTTTTGAGGCCAGTGTAGCTCCTGTTTCTCCTGCTGTCAGAAACAAATCACAAAAAAACAGCCCAGACCATTACTCCTCCTCAACTAAACTTTACAGTTGGCACTATGAATTCAGGCAGTAGTGTTCTCCTGGCATCTGCAAAACCCAGATTTGACGGACTGGCTGCCAGATGGTAGTGTGTTACCTCACTCCAGAGTTTCCACTGCTCAAGAGTCTAAAAGCAGAGTGCTTTACATCACTTCATCCAACACTTGCCATTATAATCTTAGGCTTGTGTGTGGTTGCTTGGCTATTGAAACCCAATCCATGAAGCTCCCATGCTTGCAATGGCAATTTGGATCTCAGCAGTAAGTGCTGGAACTGAGGACAGATAATTTTCATGTGGACTCTGGCCACATTCTGTGAGCTCCTAGACACTTAGGCCTGTTACAATTATTACATAATCACCTAATCACAATTATTTGAACTAACTGCAGTTATTTTCCACAGCTGTTATGTTTCACAATTGTATGTTATCTCAACAAACAGAATGTGAAAAAGCATAAAGTGCCTTTACTGAGACACATCTTAAGTCTTATACAATCAACAAAAACATCTGACTGGTGCTATAACACCTTTCGGGGGCAGCGGAGAGTAATGTTTGTTTATTTGAGTTTGAGCTGTGTCTATCATCAGCTGGTAGCTACAAAGTATAGACAGCTCAGAAGCAAGACAGCTAATTGGCCAATCTGTCTGCTTTAGGCTTATACTTTAACACCTTTGCAAAAAGAACAAAAATTGACTGCCAATAAAGTAGTATGTTTCTCAATATTTGATAAAATTGGGCCACACACAATTAGAAATGACAATTTTTTTGGGGGGGGGTACAATTTAAAAAAGATGTAAGATGGAGACAGCAAACTTATACTTTAAATTTTAAAATGTTTCTCAACAATCCTCAAACCTGTTTGAGAATAACAGTAAGCTTCACCCAGTACTGTCATTTCACAGACAAAAGCATGGAACAAGATTATATTAAATAAGTAATAATAGAAGGACCTAGTTAGATTAGTAAATTAGATTTATCTTTGGGCATTATAAAATTATAACAGTTTGTAAGACATGCCTTACGTAAAGGGTTTTACAATAAGCATCAGGTACTATAACTGCTTACACCACCTGATATTTCCATTCTATTTTAAATTTGACTGGCATGATCTTGGAGAATTGTTTTAACCTTTGACTTTGATTTCAATTTCACACATCTTTTCAAAATATAGCATAGTTATATATTATATATAATAATAATAATAATAATAATAAGATATAGTTTTCAAACTTCTCCTAATGTCAGCACCTTTAGACACACAAACCTGAAAGAACTTTGATTTCAGTTCCAATTTTCTGATTATTTTTGGGAAGCAGTAATGGTTTCATGATTTTTTTTCGATTACAAAATTGATTAGCTCTGACAGACAATTCAGAGTATGTGTGTAACCAGCTAATCAGCTAATATCCTTTCTAACAGAGTCCACATAGAGACAAGTATAATCAGATCAGTATAGCAGTTGGGATCCTTTACCCCAGTTCAGTAGTAGGAATCGGTATTTCTGTGATGTTTGATTTTTGATGCCATTACTCTATTAATATTCAACAAAAATACATTTTTGTGTTGTATTCCTTGCCAAACAGGACAGCTATGGCAGATGCCTTGTCATTTCATGGTATCTTGGCCACCATTTCAGTTTCGTTTGGTTCAGGTGCAGGCTGCTGTCCACATAAGCACCACTACTGAGAGTTGAAAGATTTTTTGTTACCAAAAAGATTATAATTAAGTGCATTTCAGTTGAGCAGCTCACTAATTGCATGTTTTTATGGCTAAAGTAGATTCCCTATTCTCCATCGTACAACTGCCACGTCACAAACTTATTCCAGCTTTAGAACACAAAAACATACTGGAAGGAGGAATCAGCAGAAAACAGGTAGGAGAGACTAAAAGAAAGAGATGGTTCAGTGTATGTGCTACCCTCTTTTCATTGTACAGAATTTCTTTGAGCCAGCGCAGGTCCTGCTGTTTGAAAGGCACAAGGACCATGAGGGTGTCAGGATCATTGTGAATGGCAGGGTAGGAGGATGCTGACTCAGGATAGAAAAGCCGTATGGTGGTCTTATTCCCAACATCTTGTTCATAGCCTCGCACCGGTGCATCATTCATCCTGCAAACACAATAGCAGCAGAAGAGAGAGACAGAGCGGGGTGAGCAAAGTGAGAGAGAAAGAGGGAAAAAAGAAAAAGCGTGAAAAAGAGGGAGATAAATACAGAGCAAGAGAAAAAAAGTAAAAAAGAGAGTCAGAGAGAGAGAGAGTGTGTTAAGTCAAAACTCTTCGGTGAAAGAATATGAAAGGATATTTTTTTAAACAGAAATGCTATTTATTATCTGAAAACAAATGCTGTTTGGCCAATGCACTGAATGGCATCTTCATTAGTGGGAAATGTGGACCATAATATAACAGCAAATGATCAATGAACTCCATGACATTTTTTTCACAGCAAGTTGCTGTTGAAAAATCACATAGGTGCACTTACGAAAACAGAAAACTTTGTCAAACTACTGGTAAAATGCTTAGTGCAAAAACTCACCGAAAATCTAAAAACAAACAAATAAAAATCTGAAAAGTAAAAGAAAAATTACAAATAAATATATATTTTTTTTGAGTACATGATTAACAGGGAAACAAAATAAGTGATGCATGAATCAAGGCGCAGCAGTGACCCCAATACACTACTGTTCAAAAGGTAGAGGTCACGCTTCATTTTTCAGTGTCAGGAAAAAAGGGCAGGAAACATATATTCTGTCAGGAAAAAGTGTAACACTTACCCCACCTTTTGTTCAGTTAAAGCATGATATCACAGGCCATGTGCAAGGCCTTTATTAGGTGTGAAAGACAACACAATTATAATGAATAATTAAATTAATAAATTCATAGAATTTTCATTCACAGCGTCCACCCTTAATAACAACTTCAAATATTTTTGGGAGACCTGCTTTCAGTTTTTCAAAGAAATCAGGGCTTTTTTTTCCCCCCATATCTCCCAAGTTCAGTCTTAGGAGTTGGTTACAATTTCTGCTTCTCATCTAGTAATCCCTATCAATAGTCTTGAGGTCTGGGGTCTAGGATGGCCAGTTCACTGTTCTGAGAACACCAGCTGTTTCTTTGCAAATCATCTTTTTTTTGTTGCTTTCACTTAGTCACTAATGGCTTCTTGACAACTGCATTTTGTCAGACCCCTGGGTTGTCTTCTCACAGTGAAAGGATATACATAAACACCTCCAGATTTTCTGACTTGAAGCAAGAGTGGAGCCTGATTTTCTCAGATGAAAGTTTTAAGTAATGTATATCTGTTACAGTTTGGATAGTTTACAAGTCCCATTTTCTCTATATTTTTTAATTTTTTAAGTTTTGGAAACTCCTGTTTATTTGCTTATTTTCTTTCCCTTATAGCCTTCCAGTTGCAAGTGGATATTATATCAAATGATGTGCACATGCATCACCTAAAGGCCCTTTTATAAGCAAGGAAACAAATTAAAATGCACACACTGATGACAGGAAAAATCTGATTCAATGAGCATGACCAGAAATCAAGTGACCGCTAATCTATTTTGATAAATTTGAAACTAGTTTACAGTGTATTTCCATTATATCAGAGATGAGAACAGCATATAGTACAATAATACATAAATTGGGTAACACTATAGGGCTGCGACTTTTAAAAGGCTACATGACGACCTTTCATGACAACTGACATAAACCTACATACACAAAGGTTTTTTCCAACATACTTCAGTTGTCATAAGGGCTGCTTTTGTCAACTTGCATGTCAAGCTGACATAACACCTTTCAAGTACCATAGATTTTTTACTGACCTTATGGAGTAACATGATAGCAGACTATGTAACTGAAGTATCAATGAGGACTGAAAACAACAAATTGTGTTGTTGGCAGCAGCATAATGGGATGTGGCAGCTGACAGGTAAAGGGGCTGTTTTCATGGTCATGTGCTAGAGCTTTTTCCACCACATTAGGGTCAGCTGAGATTTATTTGATAAAAAAAGAGGCTCTTATAGCCAGTAGGGGAGAGACTACTTTGCTGCATGAGAGGATCTGCTTATTGCATTTACACTGGTCTCTGTGTGTGTTCCTGGGTGTTTGGTTTGCCAGGCACATTTACAGCATTTAGCAGATGCTCTTATCCAAAGCAACTTAAAAAAGTGCCAAAAAGGGAAGAATCCTCTGGATTTTGTACATTAGAAACCTGCATAACCGAGTTAGGTTCGCAATATGAGCTGAGAACGATAACTGGCCATCCAGAATTACATCAAGACTTCTTGCATCTTCAGAGGGAACGATCAGAGAGTTATCGAATGAGATGGCACAGTTACACAGTTTAAATGATGAGCAGAGAAGCAGTAAACCTTCTAGCAGAGAATGCAGTAAACCGGCATGCACTCTACTACTTGTTGCCTTGACCCTACTCTCTCTTGCATCCACTGATGTCATTTTTTTGTTTAATTATTTAATTCTAAGTTCTGCTATTCTGCTTGCCATTGTCTGCTGTTCAACTAGGTCATTATCATGGCAGCAACTGCAAAAAAGTCAATTCATGAATTTTCAAAACTTATGAATATTTCACAAGAGTTGCATTTTATTTGTCAACTTCATGAACAAAACATAACATCAGTGTAGGCTGACCTGGCCAGCCAATAGCTAACATCCTCTTCCAAAAACATCCAGTAACATGCTTTAAGTTAAAATCAGTAAGTTTCAGTTGATCCTGTTTCAGTTACAGCTGCCAAGAAATTAATATGCCCCACCATTAGCTTTGCGCTAACACAACAGTAGAAAGTCTGTGCTAGCAGAAATTAACATCGTGCTAGCAGTGTTAATTAAATGAAGAAAGGCTACTTAAAACATTGGTCAGTATGAAATTTCTGATTAACATATGGCCATATTTGGAATGTATCTGGGTCAGAAAATGGCATACACTGGCCAGTGTATGTTGTGCTGTATGCAATTAAGTCAAATGTCTCAGCAGAGACACAGCTAATGTCCAAAACTGTATGCACTGTGTACTAACCACATACAAAACTAGTGAGTAAACTGACTCATGATAAGTAGAGTTTGCTACACAGGGCCAGCTCTGGCATTTTAGGGGCCCTAAGCACGATTTTTTTTGGGACCTGCTCACATCTTATTAACTCAATTTTGGAAAAGTTGAGACATTTTGTTCATGGTAACGCTGTGGAGTCAGTGAGAAGCACCAAGTTTTTGGGAGTGCACATCACGGACGTCCTGACATGGACATGGACAGAATACTCCCTCTAACAACACACAACACACTGGACTATCAGGACTGTCAAAACCCTGAACATGCACACAAACTGTCTGAACCTTTTCTTAGAACTCTGTCCTCTAAAAATGCAGCTATTTTTTTCTGTGCAATATTTACAATGTTCTCATCACTTGAACACTATCACGATTCACCAGTGTCAAGTTTACATTTCCTGTTATACTGCGCAATACTACACTGAGAACAATGTGCAATATTTTTTCCATACAACGTGCAATATTTGAATGTTTTATGTCTGTCTATACTGTCTAGTATGTCTATGTGGAGTTGCCTTTTATGTTATATTTGTGTATATTTTTGCACATCGGAGTTGGAGAAACACAATCTTATTCAGCTGTTCACTGCTTGTTGTATAGTATGACAAAGTTCACTTTGACTTGACTTTGACTAGTATAAAGAAATGAATTTTAATGTTTTGCCTTGATTGTATTTTGTAAATATAAACAAATTTTGAGTTTGATGCCTGCAACACATTGTCGCACTTTCAGGTCTCTACTCTGCCTGTCAACCCCACTCACTACAACTCCCATAATTCTCTGGACTCTCATGTCACAGACTCAACCAATCACGAGCACTTACCCAGAATCACGTTACTGGGTTTCCCATCTGATATATAAACCTGTCTGTTTGTTACACTCATTGCGAAGAATTGCCAACCCTGTTAGTTGCATACCGAGCATGCTTTTCCTGATTGATCTTTCCGTGTTTTAATTTTTCTCTCGTTATTGTTTCTCGTTTTTGGATTCCCCTTTTGTACTGTTGTTTCAGCTTTTTTCTACTTTGGCTTTGACCCTAACATGCTTTTGGATTCGCTCTTACTCTATCACTCATGTATGTCTTTTTGTTACCTATGGTTTTGCTCTGGGCTGGCTTTGACATTGTTCGTGTTAACTCACTCCTCTGGCATTTAACATCTGCGAGCATCTGGTTTGTTTACCAAACATTACACATACTCCAAAAAGTTGGGACAGGGGCAAAATAAGAGTAAAGTTTATATAATATTCAAGTTACACTGTTTTAAAACATTCTACAATAAGCAGGTGAATTGATAACAAGTGAGGGTATCATGATTGGGTATTAAAGGAGCATCCAAAAAAGGATCAGTCTTTGCAAGCGAAGATGGGTCATGGCTCTTCATGACTTCATGCAAGAACTGTCAAACAGTTCAGAAAGAACATTCCTCAATGCAAGATTGCAAAGAATTTAGGTCTTTCACTGTCTACTATCTAGAGAATCAGGAGAAATCTCAGCCTGTGTAGGGCAAAGCCAGAAGCCACTGTTGAACGTGCATGACCTCCGAGCCCTCAGATGGTATTGCGTGAAAAACTGTCGTATTAAATATAGCTATAAGGGCTTAGGATTACTTTACTTAACACAGTCTGCTGCTGCATCAAAAAATGCAACTCTTTTATGCAAGGAGAAAGCCATATATCAATTCTAAATAGAAACACTGCCATGTTCTCTGGGCCCAAACTCATCTCAATTGTGTGTTGTGGTCAGATGAGTCTATGTTTCAGATTATTTTTTGAAAAAAATGGATGTTTATCAGCGAAAGGTAAAAAAAAAGCCAACATCTGTCATGTTATGAGGCTGCATCAGTGCCCATGGAATAGGTGACTTGCATATGTGTGACTAATGCAGAGGCAAAGACCTATGCTGCCATTAAGATGATGCCTTTTCCTGGGAAGTCATGTTGTAGCACGTGCAGAATGCCAGGCCTCATTCTGCAAGTGCTACAACAGCATGGTTTTATAGACACAGAATGTCTGTCTCCTATTGAAAATGTATGCCACATCATGAAGAGGAGAATCAGACAGTGATGACCACAGACTGTTGAGCAGCTGCAGTCTTGTATCAAAAAAGAATGGGCAAAAATTCCATTTGCAACACTGCAACAATTAATATCCTTGGAGGCAGTCATGGGCTGGAGGTCAGGGAACCAGTACATGACTGAGGTGCCCTTGAGCAAGGTAGCTACCCCCAACTGCTCCCTGGGAGCCGTGGATAGGGCTGCCCACCGCTCCGGCCAAGTGTGCTTACTGCCCCCTAGTTCACTAATGTGTATGTGGTGTTCCACTGCACGGATGGGTTAGATTGCAGAGGTGAAATTTCCCCATTGTGGGACTAACAGGGTCACTTAATCTTAATCCTCAATTCTCAAACAATTAAGAAGTATACTTAAAAGGAAAAGTGACAAACATGTCTCTGTCTCAACTTTTTTGAGTTTTTATATTTATAAAATACAATTAACTTGGTCAATAAAAACACTGAAAATCTTTTCTTTGTACTTTTATCAGTCAACTCTATCTAGATCACTGTACCGATGCCAGCAAACTTCCATTGAAGCGTCCACTTCAAAACATGTTTTATACCATTTTTATACAAAATATATATCATTTTTATGCATGAAATCGTTCTTAATATAGTGATGCACTATACTGTCAAAAAGCTTGAAATCACTGCATCCAATTCACACAATTTTATGATCCATTATTCACCTCAGTAATGATTAACACATTTGCAAGCACTGAAAATCTGAGGGTCCTTACCATCAAAGCCTTGCCGCTTTCCACAGAGGCATCATAATCCAAAACGTGCGGTCTTAACATGGCAGGAGTCAGAAATCGGTTGAGAGATCTATAAGTCAGGCGGAAATAAACTTTTCTGTCTAGTCTCTGTTATTCTGTGCCAGTAATTCATACATCATTATTATATACATCATTATTCTGACGGTTGGGAAACCAACTTGAGTGTTACCTTTCAAATGAGACCACGACTGTAGCCTAAAGTATGTGGAAACAATAATCCTTTTACTTTGCATAGGCTGTTTCAGGCAAAAATAGGGCAACAATTAACAGTTTAAATTAAGGTTCAAAAGAATTAACAAATCAGAGATTCTTGTTTTTATTGCATTTTACAAAATGACTTCCATGAAAATTGGGTTTGTAATAAAAATGAATCCCACAAGCTGTTTAAATTATATAAATACATAACTAATTTGTGGCTAATTTGTGTATTTGTGTGCTAATTATTGGATGCTTGTTTGGGGTTCTCATAAGTAATAATTTAAATGACAGAAAACCTTCTTGGCATTCTCGATCTAGGGGTCTGTCGCACTCACTGTTGGTTTTACCCTTATAAATACTTTATGTTCTACATATTTAGTTAGTATGATTTCTTTTTCCTTCTCTGGCATCTCCTTCTCAGGTTCTTCATGATTGGATTTTTGCCATAAACATCACGCTTTCATGTGCATGCGCACAAGGATTAAGCAAGGAAAATAAGCCTTAGTATTTAAACCTGGATAAATCACAGCCTGAGTATCTAAATCTGGACTAAGAGAGAAAATTGTTGTAAAATGAGTTAACTGTGGCTGTGTGAAGCTGAAACTTGATCAGAAACCTGTCTAAATTCAATGTGCTTCGTTGGACAGACTCCACATCTACTGTTTGGTGTTCATCTACGAGCCAAAACAAATGGCAAAACATTAACACCATAAAAAAGACATACCTTTATCCTTAGGTCTGTTCTCTTCATTTCTCAGTGTTCAAACAGCATTCAAATTCAGTGCTCCTTTAATGCCTTATAAGTTGCTCTGTATAAGCATAAGCTAGTTTTGAATGTAAGAAAACTAAATTCATGCTGTTTTTCAGAACCCCCAATATTGCTTTTAACACTGTGAATCTCAACACCTTGTCAGGATTCCGTATTGACTGATTGATCCTGTAAACGGATGTGAACGGTCAAAAAAAGCTCAGGTACTTGTACAATATAAGACGTGTTTCCCAATGCATACTAGAAAAAGGACTGTAGTGACCACCTTATTATCCATCCTAGACTACGGTGAACTATAGACATGCATCTCACAGAAGACTTACAGCACTAGATTTAAACTATCACTCTGCTATCAAATATTGATTCATTACTGGAGACCCTTACAACACTCATTACTGCACACTGCATGAAAGTTGGTTAGTTCTCTCCAGCGGCAGGAAACTAAATCAGGCTCACTCTAGTGGCTGGATCACCTGTCAAGGTCCTAGAATATTTACTGAATTAGGAAAGTGTTTTTTGCTATAGTGTACCAGTGAACTGAAATACATTACAGGAAACTCTACAGCTCCAATTGCTGTTGACTAAAATCGACGACCAAATTAGTTGGCAACTAATTTAGTAGTCGATTAGTTGGTGATGTCATTAGGCGTCTTTCTCACGCTCACTAGGAACGTTTTGACATTACCGCTCACTGAAGAATTAACAACAGCGCGATGGCAGCCTCAAGAACAAAGTCCTCAAAAGTGTGGGAGCTATACTCAGAAAAAAGGTTGTCAGTTGTGCTGTTTGTAAAGCCGACCTTGGCTGGCACAAGAGCACATCCTCCCTGCTGGAGCATCTGAAGAGGAAACTCGGCTCACTGGATGAAGATGATTCATCTCGGTATGATACGCTGCCTCCCAAATCGAATAGTACCACACTAAATAGTTTGTAAAAATAGCGCATATACCATTAGAGGTACACTTGTTAGTGTTGTATGTGAAGTACAGAGCTGTGTGGTTTGGGACGCTGTGCTAGCGAGCTAGTTAGCTAATGTTAACACTGAATTCCGTCCTACTTCATGTTATGAACCGAGCTGTAACATTTTCTATTTCGAAATGCATTTTTTGGGAATTGTTAATGGAGTTGGAACAGAGAACCAAGTAACTATTATTGTTATTATTCACAGTGACTCTGTTCCCTTTCCAGATATCGTTTACAGTTTTAAACACTGCATCGTCGCCTTAACGCCAAGGCCGCCGGTGCGTTCAGATTCAGCGAACATAGGAGAGCAACTGCAGTTTTCTGTTCTCCACAAACGTTTGGCTACACTCGCTAACAGTTTAGGTAGCTAGACAAAGGGATACCGTTGAAATGAAATGTTTTCACAAAATCGTTAATTTAACTGTTCATAGAGAAGTTTGCCACAAACATTCGTCACTTTCCCATCCGCTCTATCAGAGCGCGTCTTCTCTGCAGCAGAATATCCGCTCTCAGAGGAGAGCGCCTCTCTCACAGGAGCACGGAGAGAGGCTGACTTATCTCCATTTCAGTAAACTGTGACTGTAGAATTTAGTTGCAGCAAAGCGTAGACAGACAGACACAAAGCACAGACTGCACTGTTTAAATTTAACATTTAAATTTAGATTGATTTTATCTGATTTATCTGAGTTTTGTTATATTTTATTGCTGCTACTTTGCAAATCTTTGGTTAGAAATTTTGACAGGAAAAATACATTGGAGTTTTATTTTTTAAATTTTGTATTAGCAAAAAAGTTAATTAAAACAGTGATTTCTTAAATGTTATTCGTCTATACTGTCATCATTGTTAGTTAGTAAATGCATAAAACAACCTGAAACTGAATTCAAAACCTAATAGCTACATAAAAGGTATTTGGTAATGTAGTGATTCATAATCAGATTAATCGATTATTCGTTTCAGTAATCGATAGATTATTCGACTACCAAATTAGTCGTTTGTTGCACCCCTATTGTCTATTATTGTAGTTTTTTACTTTTCTGTTTTCATTACTTATTTTACTGTTTTAGCTCTATTTCTATTTAAGATTTTATTTATTTATTCTATAATTTTTGTTATTCATAAACTGTTTATTGAAATTTAACTGATTAAATATAATTTTCACGTTTTCAATCCCTGATTTAACTTAATTGGAAACACTAAATGAGAGTCACCCTCAATGTACATCTAAATTGAAATTAAGGTTGATTAAATAATTTTAGGTAAAGTTAAAGTCAATTTTACTTACTTAACAGTCAAAGAAAATAAAATATACATAACCCTGTCAATACAGTGTCACTGCCATAAGCCATAAAGATTCTTAAAAATCTTCTAAGCATAAGTATGACTCACTTTGCTAAAGGGCAAGAGAAAATAGACACAATATAACAGTTAATTTCCATTTCAATGTCAAAATATCTTTATAATCCTCAACACTACATTGCTACAAAGTCAACTGTCATAACATGCTGTGTAATTTCAAACCAGAAAGAATTATGACTTTATAAGAATGAGTTATTAACCCTTCATAGTAACTAAGGCATGTCACATTGCAGTACACAGATATTCTTTAATGCCATTACTTTTACTTCATAGTATTTGCTTGTAAGAAAATCTGTTTGGGGTGTTGCAAAAATATGTAGCGCCTAGGCATTGCAGTAATGTTGATGTTACCACGATGGTAAATGATCCTCTTTACCTGATTACTATGTCATATTTGTTAATGGTGGTCCCCAGGGAGCTGTTTTTGATTGCAAAGCCATTTCCGATGACCACACATGTTCTGCAGTCTAGACTGGAAACACATAAAAAGTCCATATTAAGTAATGAGATCCTGTACCCTTTTAAAATTTTTCACTGAGTTTAAAACAAATGTTTAGGTCTTAAAATCCCCAAAAATAAATCTTACCTCTCTATGACTGTGGGCAATCTATAATTGCCAATTTTGTAGTTGGCCAAAATTTTCAGGAGTAGTAACTCTATTAAAAAAATAAAACACACCCGAATTAAACAGAAAATAACTTATCATAACTGGCAAATATGCATTAAAATATAAAAATACACTCAATCAACGAAGTGCACTACCAAAAAAAAAGTCTATCATATCAAAGAGGCCAATGGCACCATTCATGGTTACTACTTCTGTACTGACCAGAAAATGCAAAATTTGAACAAGATGACCTTCTTATAAATGTAAATAAATGCTATTATGCATTAAAAGTAAAGCCTGGTGCGACCCAAATTACATTTAAATGTTCTACATTTAAAATAAACTCAGATAAAAGGATATACCATACCACTTCCTTTAATACCATAAGGCAGGGACAGTGCTGACTGGTGTTCTTTCCAGAAAAAATCCTTCAGCTTCAGAAACAGCTCTGTTTTTCTGCTAATGCTGTTTCAACACAACAAATAACATGTCAACATCTCTTTCTCATTCTGCAGCAGCATTTCATAACAAAAAAATTTAAAAAGCAGGAAAGAGGACTTGATAACCTGTATCATAACTTTATGCGTGAGCAAATGTTCACAATATTTTATTATGTAACATTATAACAACACATTGTGGTCATTTTCTAAGTAAAATTAATCACCACCTCTGCATGAACTTAAATATGATAGATTTCTGCTAATTTTAATACATAATTATTTATTTGCAGAATGTAAGATCATCATCATCATCATCATCATCATCATCATCATCATTAACTGCTTAGTCCAGATAGGGTCGCGGTAGCAGTTGGGAGAGCAGAGAACCCAGACGACCCTGTCCACCGCAACTTCCTCCAGCTCATTCCCGGAGAGCCCAAGCTGCTCCCAGGCCAACTTGGAGATATAATCCCTCCAGTGGGTCCTAGGATACCGGTCTTGTTCCGGTAGGCAGTGCCTGGTACACCCCTACCGGGAGGCATCCAGGGGGCATCCAGATCAGACGCCTGAACCACCTCAGCTGGCTCCTCTCAATGCGGAGGAGTAGCGGCTCTACTCTGAGCTCCTCCCGGATGGCCGAGCTCCTCATCCTATCAAATAGAGTGTAGCCCGCCACCCTGCGAAGAAAGCTCATTTACGCCGCTTGTATTCGCGATCTCATTCTTTCGGTCATAACCCACAGCTCATGACCATAAGTGAGGGTCGGGATGTAGACCAATCAGTAAACACTACTACAGTCCGGTACAGCGACCGCATTACTGCTGCCGCCTGTCCCAGCCTGGGGTCGATCTCACGATCCCTCTTTCCATCACTCATGAACAAGACCCCGAGATACTTAAACTCCTCCACCTGGGGCAAGTCCTTTCCCCTTACATGGAGTGGGCAAGCAATCCTTTTCCGGGCTAAGACTATGGACTCAGACTTGGAGGTGCTGATCCGCATACCAACCGCTTCACACTCAGCTGCAAACCGCTCCAGTGCGCGCTGGAGGCATCCATGTGATTCAGCCAAAAGAACAACATCGTCTGCAAATAGCAGAGATGCCACCCTCCAGCCTCCACACATAATGCCCTCCTGACCCTCCTGACCATCCTCCTACCCTCACAACCCTGGAGGCATCCAATGCTAACACTGAAAGAGTCAGACTTAATGCTGAGTATGCGAACACAGCTCTCCCTCCGGGCGTACAGAGATTGAATGGCTCTGAGTAGTAACCCCGGCACCCCATACTCCCGGAGGACCTCCCACAAGGTATCTCAGGGAACACGGTCGTAAGCCTTCTCCAAATCCACGAAACACATGTAGACTGGGTTGGCAAACTCCCATGCCCCCTCAACAATCTGTGAGAGGATGAAAAGCTGGTCCATTGTTCCGCGGCCAGGACGGAATCCGCATTGTTTCTCCTCAATCTGAGGTTCAACTATCGGTCGAAGTCTCCTTTCCAGCACCTTGGCATAGACTTTCCCAGGGAGGCTGAGCAGTGTGATACCCCGATAGTTGGCACACACCCTCCGGTCCCCTTTCTTAAAAAATAGGGACCACCACCCCAGTCTGCCAGCCCAAGGGTACTCTTCCCAAGGTCCATGCAATATTGCAGAGGCGTCAGCCCACCCCTGCTGAATACAGCTTGGGCGCAGCCAACCCGACCGCTCCTGAGTCACCGGACAGTTGTCCAGGACCTCCTTGAGGCCGACGAAAGTCTTTTTCCATGGCTTCACCAAACTCCTCCCACGCCCTGGATTTTGCTTCTGCCACCGTTGCAGCTGCCACCTCTTTTGAATGTCGGTACCAATCTGCTGAGTCGGGAGTCCTTCGGGCCATCCAGTCCCTAAAGGCCTCTTTCTTCAACTTGACGGCCTCCACCAGGGGGTTCTTGGGTTACCACCCTGACAGGCACCAACAAGCTTTTGGCCACAGCTACGCCTGGCAGCTCCCACAATTGAGGTTTTGAACAGGGTCCATTCAGACTCTATGTCCCCTACCTCCTCTGGGACATGAGAAAAGCTCTCCCGGAGGTGGGAGTTAAAAATCATTCCGAACAGGGGCCTCCGACAGTCGTTCCCAGCACACCCTTACTATTCGCTTGGGCCTACCGGGTCTGACCATCGGTCTTCCCTGCCATCTGATCCAACTCACCACCAGATGGTGATCAGTTGACAGCTCAGCACCTCTCTTCACCCAAGTGTCCAGAATATATGGTCCCAAGTCAGATGAAACGACAACAAAGTCGATCATTGACCTTTGAACCAAGGAGCTCTGGTACCATGTACACTTATGAGCGTCCTTGTGTTCGAACTTGGTGTTCGTTATGGACAATCCATGCCTGGCACAGAAGTCCAATAACAATTCACCATTCGGGTTTAGATCGGGCAGGCCGTTCTTCCCAATCATGCCTCTCCAGGTCTCCCAGTCATTGCCAACATGAGCATTGAAGTCTCCCAGTAAGACTATGTGAATGTAAGATAATTAACAAACTAAAACATAACAGCATGTGCATAAATCTAGGCACGCTTTTAGCTAGTACTTTGTAAGATCCCCTGTGGCTGAAATCAGTTTCCAAAAGTTTCTTGTAGCCAACTAATAGTGATTTGGTGATTTAGGCGATTATTTCCACTTTTTCTTGCAGACCACCTATAGTTCTGTTATATTCTTGGGCAATTCTGAATGGACAGCATATGTAAGATCTAATCACAGATTTTCAATAATATGCAAAACTGGAAACAATGAAGGACATTTCAAAACATTAATCTTTCATTTCTTGAAGTAGCTCATGGTGGATTTTGAAGCATGTTTTGGATCATTCTCTTGTAATATCTAACCTCTTTTCTTCTTCAGTTTCTCTCTAGCCCCACAGTTTGTGTGCCATTGGCTGCCACATGTCTCCAAAGCATAACAGATTAACCTCCATGCTTAACAACTGGCAACTGATATGCTTCTCTTTTTTTTTTTCCAAACATAACTTTAGTGGCTGTAGCCAAAGGGTTCCATTTTTCAGACCACAGCACTTGATTCCAAAATTCCTCTGGCTATGTTTTGTGTTGTATATTTCAGACACTGACTTTTGAGATGAGATTACAGTTAAAGTTACCTTCTGATGATCCATCCATGTAGACAATGTCTGTGCCACAACACTGCACAGTGGGCAAGTGCATCACTATTTTCATGCCAGGCTAATCAGCTTCTAGGTTCTTGGCAGTAATGTGAGGGCCTTGCACATATAACCAGTTTACAAGCAAATTCCTCAACTTTTCTTGATCTTACAAATCTTGTCTTCATGTCAACATTTCTCCTTAGCTTCTGTTTCTTAATGACGCTTCATTAATGACCAGTGGTGGACAGTAACAAAGTAAATGCAATTCGTTACTGTACGTTTTTTCGTGTATCTGTACTTTACTGAAGTATTTCCATTTTGGGTGACTTTTTACTTTCACTCCACTACATTTCAAAGTCAAATATCTTACTTTTTACTCCACCACCTTATGCAAAGTCTGTCTCTCCTTTTGGCTTATGTGTGTATAAAAATGTAACATTTTTCAAAGTCAAAACAAAAGAAGCGCAAAGCAAGCACACCAATCAGGGTACAGCGCACACTTTGTTTTGAGCTTGTTTTGACCAGCTGGACATACCTACCCAGTGCAAGCATAAAGTTCTACGACGGCGGTTTAGGGCCACTGTTATAAAAATAAAAATAGTAGACTTCGAGAATAAAGTTGTAATATTTCGAGAAAAAAGTTGTGTAAAAACTGTAAAAAACTGTAGGGGGGCTGCCATAACGCGTTGGTGTCTCAGTTGCTGTACTGGCGTGCCGGAGCTCCACACACTCGTCTCTTTGTGGATCAATCATTTTGATTATCATTTTCATTGTCTGTGAAACTTCATGCTCTCTTTGAATGGCACAGAGATGTAGCCCCCGATAGCTGTGTAGGCGACCCTGCCTGTGATTCTCCTTCAACAAAACAGACAGACAGTTTCCTCAGAGTCCATTTGGTTCTTTATTCCAAATAAACAGTTTCCTGCACAGCCGTTTCAGATACTAATAACAGGCTGGTGCTGATGTGCCAGGAGAGACAGGGAGACTGAGTATTTCTTTATGGGTGAAATCGATATGAAAGTATAACTCCACCATCTCCTAAACACCCCTCATTTTAACACGAGGAGGTGCTGCCTTCCTTTTGCAATGCCTTTGGCCACAATATTGTGACCTTTCCTGGTATTACTGCCGCTTTAATGTCGTAATTCTATGACTTTTTTTCTGGAAATATCACAACTTTATTCTCGAAGTCTACTATTTTTATTTTTATTAACAGTGGCCCTAAAACCCCGTCATACGGTTCAACGTCAGTGCAGCAGTGTAAAATTTTGGGAGTGCCTATACTAACATGAATGATGGAACGATATGAAATATGATGGAATATAGAATTATGTACACAAATGCACTTGGGACTGGCATGTGCCGTTTTTCTGAATTTATACAAACACTATTTCATGTTATAGTAAATTACTATATTCCAGCAGATGGAATATAGTAAAGAAAAACTCATTTATGAACCTGTGTTTAAAGCAAGTTTTTATTAAACTTAAACTTGTAACTAAGTTGCAAATAATCTTGACCTGAAACTTTGCTTGTTTGAAAAAAGTTATTTCATAGCCACTTGGTTCTACCTAATTGAATTTGCTAGCCTTTAGTGTTTTGTGCTTATGATAATTTTAATAGACAGTGACAGACTAATTAATGATTTTCTATTAAAAGATTGGTTTACCAAGAGTGACACTAGAGTATTTTCACCTAAAATGAGTTAGTGAAGCAAGAGTCTTGTTACAAAAATGGTAATAGGACATTAAAGTCATTATTAATCTTTTAGTACTTTTACTTTTGATACTTAAGTACATTTGAAGGCAAATACTTTTGCATTTTTACTCAAGTGGAGGTCTAGAGGGAGGACTTTTGCTTTTATTGGAGTAATA